GTTGCGGGGTGTCCGTGAGATCCACTATCCGGTCCTTTTAAGGCAGGGCTCTCCAACCCCGGCCACTTAAAAGACTGCTGAACTTCAACTCCCAGAATTCCTTAGTCGGCCATGTTCCCCCTCCTAAAGCAGGATTGTCCAATCTTGGCCACTTAAAAGACTTCTGGACTTCAACTCCCAGAATTCCCCACTCCCGACTCCTGGGTGTTTTCCACCCCCACCCCAAGCAGCTGGCTGGGGAATTCTGGGAGTTGAAGTCCACAAGTCTTTTCAGTGGCCAAGGTTGGAGAATCCCGCCTTAGGGGGAACATGGCTGACTGGGGGAATTCTGGGAGTTGAAGTCCAGAAGTCTTTTAAGACCCCCCCCCAGTCTTAAAGGGACCGGATGGTGGATCTCTCGGAGACCCCCAAACCCCGCCTGAGCCTCTGGACAGCCCTGGAAAAGACCCCAGACACGAATCGACCCGCTCCCGCCTCTGCAGCCCCCCCTCCAATCAAAGGCTGGCTAGGGAATTCTGGGAGTTGAAGTCCACCAATCTTCGCCACTCTTCTTTGCCAGAGAAAAACCCGAAGCCAAGACTCGGATAGCTGGCAAATTTCCATACTGGTCCTTCGGAAGGGGGGGGGGAGGCTGCCCGACTTCCCAACGATCTAGTGGCAGGTAGTTCCAGAGACACCCCCCCCACATTCCGATCCACTTGATCCCAGCTTGGCCGCCGCCCACCCCCACCCCACTTCCACCTGCCGCTTTTAATTGGCCGATTAGTTTACAATAAACTTTATACTCCGTTTTATGGGTGAGGGGCACAGAAGCCCCTCCCCAAATTGGGGGGGGAGGTGGGAGAGGAGGCGAGGAGCAGCTCCTTTGTTTAAAACAACAAAAACAACACACACACACACACACACACACACACACATCCAAACACACAACCCACACAAAAACCGACAACTCAAGTGTTTCCTTGGAGACGATCTCTTTTAGACTGGACAACGGCCCAGGATGGGATATATCATCAACTTGACAGCTCGTCAACCGTCCGTCCATCAATGCCGTTGGGGAGAATTCCGGAGTTTGGAAATTCCCAGAAGGCTTTTCGGAGTTTCCGGGCAAAAGTCGGGACAGAGGGGCGGATTTTAAAATGAGGGTTTGGGGCCCCCGAAGGCGCCTGCTGTAGACCAGGTACCCATTGGGGGGGAGGAAGGAGGAGGGGGCACCCAGAGATCCTCTAGACCAGGTACCCGTTGGGGAGGAGGAGGGGGGCACCCAGAGATCCCCTAGACTAGGTACCTGTGGGGAAGGAGGAGGGGGGAGATCCTCTAGACCAGATACCTGCTGGGGGGTAGGAAGTTAATGCAACAAAACCACACAGACACACAGACACACACACACACTTCTACTTCAGACCCCATTTGAGAAAAGGCAGAAAGTCAATGCAACAAAACCACACACACACACAGACTTCTTCTACTTCAGACCCCCCCATTTGAGAAAAGGCAGAAAGTCAATGCAACAAAACCACACACACACACACACACACTTCTTCTACTTCAGACCCCCCCCATTTGAGAAAAGACGGAAAGTTAATGCAACAAAATCAGACACACACACACAGACACACACATTCTCATTCTTCAGACCCCCCCATTTGAGAAAAGGCAGAAAGTCAATGCAACAAAACCACACACACACACACACACACACACACACACTTCTTCTACCTCAGACCCTCCCATTTGAGAAAAGGCAGAAAGCTAATGCAACAAAATCACACACAAACACACACTTCTCCTTCTTCAGCCCCTTGAGAAAAGGCAGAAAGTCAATGCAACACACACACACACACAGAGACACATACACAAACTTGGGGGGGGGCAAAGACATGTCTGGGAGGAGGGTGGCCCCCCTCCCCTCTCTTTGCTCAGCCTCAGTTTTGGGGGTCTCCCCGTGGCGCCCCCCCCAGCAAAAGCATCCGTTGTGAGACGGTCCCAAGTTGTGTGTATGTTGTGCTGTGTGTGATTGCCTCCCCCACCCGCCCACCAGCTGAGGGGCTCCGTCTCCCGGCTGCACGAGGCCAAAGCCCCCCCCCATCTTCTCCCTCTGCAGGGCGCTTCCCTGAGCCTCAGCAGAGCCTCTGAGCATGGGCAAAGTGCCTTTCCGCCCCTCTGTGCCCCCCCCTGCCCACAAGACCCCGTCTTCCCTCTTCCTTGCCCCATGAAGGGGCTCCCTCTCCCGGCTCCCTGACGCCACCCCCCCTCCTCTCTGCAGGGCGCTTCCCTGAGCCTCAGCAGAGCCTCTGAGCATGGGCAGAGTGCCGTTCCGCCCCTCCGTGGCCCCCCCTCCCCATAAGACCCCTGCTTCCCCCTTCCTCTCCACCTCCCCCCCGGGGCTCCCTCTCACGGCTGCACGACCCGTCCTCTCCTGAGCCTCAGCAGAGCCTCTGAGCATGGGCAGAGTGCCTTTCCACCCCGCTTGGGATCCAGACCGCCCCCTCCCCCACAAAACCCCTCCTTCCCTCTCACCCCCGCCCGCCGCCCCCCCCCCCAAAATCAGGTACCTCCTGAGCCACCAAGCTGGAGATGCGGACGGCCCGGCGGACACGCGTGTCCTTGCCCTCCGCGGTCGTCTGGACGAGCGGACGCGCGTCTCGGGCCCGGGGCATTCCGGCTGGGGCGAGCAGGGGGGGTCCGGCTGTTGTTCCGAGGGGGGGGCGAAAGGGGGAAGGGAGGGGGGCGAGGCCCAAACAGCAGCCGGGCCGCCACATCTGGCCGGACCCCTCCTTCTTCTTCTTCTTCTTCGCCGGCGGGAGGGCGACTGGCCGAGGGAACAGCCGCCGGCTCCTTCCCTCCCTCCCTCTCCCCCCCTCCCTCTGCTCCGCCCTAGCGGCCCCTCCCTTCCCTCCGCCTGGCTCCTCCGGGCCCCGCCCCTTACTCAAAGCTTCCCAGAAGGAGGGGAGGGGGGGAGAGCAGCGGGCGGGGCGGGGCCAGGTCCACGCCCACCCGGCTCCGGCCACGCCCCCTCCACTGTCCCCTCTGCAGGCGGGGGCGGGGGGGGGTCTTTCCTCCCCAGCCCCAGCAAAGCAGCCGGCAGAGTCTCCGGGAAGGGGTGGAGGATTGGTCTGGGAGGGGCCCGGGAGGTCATCTAGCCCGACCCGCCATCCCCTCCCCCCCCCACCCCGCTCGAGCAGAAGACCCTTAGAGCATCACAGAATGACGAGTTGGAAAGGCACTCAGAGGTCATCTAGCCCGACCCTCTGGTCGAGCAGGAGCCCCCCCAACTAATGACAGAGTTGGAAATGAACTCAGAGGTCATCTAGTCCAACCCGCTGCTCCAGCAGGAGATCCTTATAGAACGACAGTGGGAAAGGCACTCGGAGGTCATCTAGCCCAACCCCCCTGCTCAAGTAGCAGACCCTTACAGAATCACAGAATGACAAGACTTGGAAAGGCCCTCAGAGGTCATCTAGCCCAACCCCCCCTGCTCAAGCAGGAGACCCTTACACAATTACAGAATCACAGACTTGAAGGGACCTGGGAAATCATCTAGTCCAGCCCCCTGCTCGAGCAAGAGATCCTTACAGAGTCATAGAATCACAGACTTGAAGGGACCTGGGAGGTCATCTAGTCCAACCCCCTGCTCGAGCAGGAGACCCTCACAGAATGACAGAGTTGGCAATGCACTCAGAGGACATCTAGTCCAACCCCCTGCTCATGCAGGAGACCCTTATAGAATTGCAGTATGACAGAGTTGGAAGGGACTTTGGAGATCATCTAGTCCAGCCCCCTGCTCGAGCAGCAGAGCCTTACACAATTACAAAATCACAGAGTTGGAAGGGACCCCGGAGCTCATCTAGTCCAACCCTCTACTCAAGCAGTCGACCCTCGCAGAATGACAGGGTTGGAAAGGCACTCAGAGGTCATCTACTCTACCCCCTGCTCAAGCAGGAGACCCTTACACAATTACAGAATCACAGACTTGGAAGGGACCTCGGAGGTCATCTAGACCAACCCCCTGCTCAGGTGATCTTTACAGCATCCTAGAATGACAAGAGTTGGAAGGGACCTTACAGGTCATCTAGTCCAACCCTCCTCCCCCCCGCCCAAGCGGGAGACCCTACACTATTTCTGAACCCTTTCTTTGTCTTCGTCTCTCTCTTTCTCTCCCCTCTTTCTGTCCCTCTCCTTGTCTCTGTCTCTCCCTCTTTCTCTCTCCCTTTCTTTCTTTCTTTCTTTCTTTCTTTCTTTCTTTCTTTCTTTCTTTCTTTCTTTCTCTTTCCTTCCTCCCTGCCTCCCTCCCACCTTTCTTTCTCTCTCTCTCTCTTTCTCCCATTCTCCCCCTCTCTCTCCCTTTTTCTCTTTTTCCCATTTTTTCTTTCTCTCTTTTTCTCTTTCTCTGTTTCTTTGTCTTTCTCTACCTTTCTTTCTCTCATTCTCTATTCCTCTCTCCTTCTCCCCACCCTTTCTGTACCTCTCCTTGTCTTTTTCTCTCTCTCCCTCTCTCCCTTTCTCTTTGTCTCTCTCCCCCTCCCTCTCTCTCTCCCTCTCTCTTCCTCTCTGTCTCTCTTTGTCTCTCTCCCTCTCTTTTTCTCTCTCTCTGTCTCTCTCCCTCTCTTTCTCCCTCTCTCTTTCTCTCTCTTCCTCTCTCTCTCTCACACACATACACACACAGGGCCTGCTGGCACGTGGGGAGGAGGCTCTTCCTGTGGGAGGGAGGGAGGGCATCGGTCCAGCAAGGCCGGCATCCCCCACAAGCGTAAAGGAGCCACTCACAAACCCAAATAAATTCCTCCTGAACAAGGACCACCCGGCAGCCAGCGTGCCACCCTTCTCCACAAGCGTCTGCCGCGGCCCACGTCCGCCAGCAATTGGCGACCACCGAGGCGCCGAGCCCATCGCCCTGCAACCCACCGACAGGCGGACAGGAAGAGCGGATGAACGTCGCTCCCGCCAGTCTCCCCCGCCGAACCCCACCCCGAGGCCAGAGACGCTCGGCCGGCGCTCACCTGGGTGACCTTCTCCGTCACGTTGTGGGTCCGGTCCTTCAGCTTGCTGGGGGCGATGATCTCCTTCTCGCTGGAGGGCGAGGTGAGGAAGGCCTCCGCCTTGAAGTCCACGAAGTTGAGGGTGATCTGGGGGATCTTGCTGATGGCCCGGTAGCGCATGAGGTCCGAATCGGAGGTGGAGTTGAGCAGGTGGCTCCGGACGTTGTTCATGGCCCCTGTTGGGAAAGCCAATGGTTCAGCAAAAGGGGGAGCTTCAGTCTCACCCTCCCGCCCGCACGAGGAGACCCCGAGACTGGGACCTCGCCAGCGGTCTGGCTGGCCAAGATGATCGAGCTAGCCCCTCCAGAGTTGGACTTGCTCAGTAGCAAGGAATTGGGAATTGGAATTGGAATAGGGATGGGATGGGATAGAATAGAATAGAATAAGATTAAGAATAGGATAGGATAGAATAGAATAGGAATAGAATAGGAATAGAATAGAATAAAATAGAATAAGATTAAGATTAAGAATAGAATAGGATAGAATAGAATAAGGTTAAGAATAGGATAGAATAGAATAGAATAAAGCTTAATAGAATACAATAGAATAAGATTAAGAATAGGATAGAATACAATAGAATAGAATAGAATAAAACTTTAGAATAGAATAGAATAAAACTTAATAGAATAGAATAGAATATGGAATAGAATAGAATAGAATAAAACAGAATAGAATAGAATAAGATTAAGAATAGGATAGAATACAATAGAATAGAATAGAATAAAACTTTAGAATAGAATAGAATATGGAATAGAATAGAATAGAATAAAACAGAATAGAATAGAATAAGATTAAGAATAGGATAGAATACAATAGAATAGAATAGAATAAAACTTTAGAATAGAATAGAATATGGAATAGAATAGAATAGAATAAAACAGAATAGAATAGAATAAGATTAAGAATAGGATAGAATACAATAGAATAGAATAGAATAAAACTTTAGAATAAAATAGAATAAAACTTAATAGAATAGAATAGAATATGGAATAGAATAGAATAGAATAAAACAGAATAGAATAGAATAAGATTAAGAATAGGATAGGATAGAATAGAATAGAATAGAATATGGAATAGAATAGAATAAGATTACGATTAAGATTAAGAATAGAATAAGGTTAAGAATAGGATAGAATAGAATAGAATAAAACTTAATAGAATAGAATAGAATATGGAATAGAATAGAATAGAATAAAACAGTAGAATAGAATAGAATAGAATAGAACTGAATAGAATAGAATATGGAATAGAATAGAATAGAATAGAATAAAACAGAATAGAATAAAACTTAATAGAATAGAATATGGAATAGAATAGAATAGAATAAAACAGTAGAATAGAATAGAATAGAATAGAACTGAATAGAATAGAATATGGAATAGAATAGAATAGAATAGAATAAAACAGAATAGAATAAAACTTAATAGAATAGAATATGGAATAGAATAGAATAAAACAGAATAGAATAAAACTTAATAGAATAGAATGTGGAATAGAATAGAATAGAATAAGATTACGATTAAGATTAAGAATAGAATAAGGTTAAGAATAGGATAGAATAGAATAGAGTAGAATAAAACTTAATAGAATAGAATAGAATAAGAACAGGATAGAATAGAATAAAACTGAATAGAATAGAACAGAACAGAACAGAATATATGGAATGGATTCTCTGTGATTCTGTAATTCTGTATTGGTCTTCTGCTTGAGCCAAGGCTGGACTAGATGACCTCTGAGGCGCCTTCCAACTCTGTCACTCTAGGATTCTGTAAGGATTTCCTGCTCGAGCAGGGGTTTGGACTAGATGACCTCTCGGGTCCCTTCCAACGCCGTCCTTCTACAACGTTCTCCTGCTCGAGCAGGGGGTTGGACTAGATGACCTCTAGGGTCCCTTCCAACTGTGTTATTCTGTTAAGTGTCCCCTGCTTGAGGAAGGGAGCTGGACTGGATGACCTCCCAGGTCCCCACTAACGCTCTCGGTGGTGCCTCCCGCCCCCCCCTAGACTAGATGACCTCTGAGGTCCCATCCGACTCTGTCACTCTAGGATTCTGTAAGGCTCGCCCGCTCCCGCAGGGGGCTGGACTAGACGACCTCCAAGGTCCCTTTCCATTCTCCGACTCAATGCTTGTGCAAGCAGGGTCTCCTGCTTGAGCAGGGGGTTGGACTAGATGACCTCTAGGGTCCCTTCCAACGCCGTCCTTCTACAAAGTTCTCCTGCTCGAGCAGGGGGTTGGACTAGATGACCCCTAGGGTCCCTTCCAACTGTGTTATTCTCTAAGGGTCTCCTGCTTGAGCAAGGGAGCGGGACTGGATGACCTCCCAGGTCCCCACTAACGCTCTCGGTGGTGCCTCCCGCCCCCCCTCTCCTAGACTAGATGACCTCTGCTTGAGCCAAGGCTGGACTAGATGTCCTCTGAGGTCCCGTCTGACTCTGTCACTCTAGGATTCTGTAAGGATCACCTGCTCCCGCAGGGGGCTGGACTAGACGACCTCCAAGGTCCCTTTCCATTCTCCGACTCTAAGCTTGAGCAAGGGAGCTGGACTGGATGACCTCCCAGGCCCCTCGTAACGCTCTCGGCGGGGCCTCCCGGCCCCCCCTCCCTCTCCTCCGCCGGACCGGGACCCCACCAGAGCCCTCCCTCCCGGGGCCGCGCGGGGCCACCCACCGGTGCTGGCGTGACGGCTGTGGGCCCAGCCCTTCTCCCCGTCGCCCTTCATGGCCTCGATGTCGTCCACGGAGGAGGCCCGGCGCACGCTGTAGCAGCTCTCGCGCGAGCGGCTGCGGCTGACGCTGCAGTTGGAGAAGGAGGCCTCCAGGTGGAGGTGGGCGGCCTTCTCAGTCCGGGGCGAGGAGTGGGTGACCGGGGGGTCCTCGCCGGCCTCCGCCCGGCGCTCCATCAGGGCTCGCTGGTCCTCGGGCTCCTCCTCTTCCTCGCAGCCCAGACAAGGGGGCTCCAGCGAGGAGGTGACCTCGTCCAGCACCACGGACTCGCTGCTCGGCTTGGACAGGTCCACCACCACCGCCTCATCCGGATCGTCCTGCGGTAGCGACTGCTTGCTCCCGGCCAGGGCGAGCAGCGCCGGCAGCTTCAGCCGGAAGGACTTGCCGCGACCTGGAAGGCAGAACCGGACCGGCAAGGTGTGTGTGGGTGTGTTTGCGTGTGTGTGGGTGTGTGTGTCGAGAGAGCTGTGCAGAGAGCCCCCTCCCCATCCGCAGGCTGTCCTTGACTTACAACCGCCCGTTCAAAGCGACAACGTGCATGGAAAAAGTCACCTCGGACGATTTTTCCCTGCGGATTAAAATTCAGACGCTCGGCAATGGACTCGTATTTATCACGGTCGCAGCGAGGCGGGGTTACGCGATCAAAGCTCAGAGGCTCGGCAATCGACTTGTATTTATGACGGTCGCAGTGCCCAGGGTCACACAATCAAAGCTCAGATGCTCGGCAACCGATTCGTATTTATGACAGTCGCAGTGTCCCGGGTTCACGCAATCGAAGCTCAGACGCTCAGTAACCGACTCGTATTTATGACGGTCGCAGTGTCCCGGGGTCACACAATCGAAGCTCAGACGCTCGGCAACCGATTCATATTTATGACGGTCCCAGCATCCCGGGGTCACACAATCAAAGCTCAGACGCTCAGCAACCGACTCATATTTATGACGGTCACAGCGTCCTGAGGTTACGCGATCGAAGCTCAGACGCTCAGCAACCGACTCGTATTTAGGACAGTCTCAGCGTTCCGAGGTTCCGACGAGCAAAGTCAATGGGGGAAGCCCGATTCAATGAACGACCGTGTCACTAAGTGAACAACCGCAGGGACCCACTTAGCAACTGTGGCCAGGAGGGTCGTCAACTGGGGCGAAACTCCCTGAGCAAGCGTCTCGCTTAGCAACGGGAACCCGGAGCCCCATGATGGTCGTACGTCGAGGACTCCCTGTCTCGCGCCCCTGTGCCACCCGCTCCTCCATTTCTCTCTCCTGGGCCTGATCTAAGAAAAGACCCCTCCCCACAGGAACAGCTAGGGGGGAGAGCCATGATTTGGCCATCAGGGGTCAGCAGCCCTCTTTACGACCTTGACCCGGATAGCCCGGGCGAGGGTTCAAAGGCACCCCTCGCCCTGAACTCTGCGAGGAGGGGGGGGGGAAAGCAGGACCCTGCAAGTGGAAACCTCTCCCCTCCTGGCACCTTCACAGAACACACACACACACACACACACACACACACACACACACATACACAAACAGAGCTGGTTTTATAGCCGACATTGACATTGACGCAAAGAAGCCACGATGGGACAGGCTGTTCCCGAAAGAAAGAGAGACAGTCACCTCCGCCTGTCATCCCCATCCATCCTCCCACGCAGGCCCCACGTTCTGCTCCTCTGCACACACACACACACACACACACACACGCCCCACCTCCTCCTCTTCCTTGGGCCATCGGCCAAGCTGTGGGAATGACTTCACCCGAGGCGACCTCGGAGTCCCTGGCGGGACCAGCCACCCCAGCCTGGCCGACAGCCTCTTCCTTTTTTCCCACTCTCCCCTAATCGGCTCGTTTGGCAGAGCCTGCACGAGGAATATGTTCTGGGAGAAAAAGAGGGAGGAGGGCACAGAAAGTTTTATTGTGCTTGGGCCAACCTGGCCGGTTTGGCACTTAAGCTCTTAAGGTCGGATCCCAAGGTTGCTAAGGACCCTTTCTTACAGACTTTGGGCCTTTGGATCATATAGTAATAATATTAATAATAATAATAATAATAGTAGTAGTAGTAGTAATAACGATAATAATAATGATGATAACAACAACAAAACAACAACAACAACAACAACAACAACAACAACAATAATAATAATAATAATAATAATAATAATAATAATAATAAAGTTCGAAGGGACCTTGGAGGTCATCTAGTCCAACCCCTTGCTCAGGCAGGAAACCCTACACCATTTCGGACAAATGGCTGTCCAGTCTCTTCTTAAGAGCAGAATAAGAATAGAACAGAACAGAACAAAATAGAATATAGGAATGAAGAATAGAATAGAATAGAATAGAATAGAATAGAATAGAATAGAATAGAATAGAATAGAATAGAATAGAATAGAATCAGAGTTGGAAGGGACCTTGGAGGTCATCTAGTCCAGCCCCCAGCTCAAGCAGGAGAGCCTTAAAATATCCCAGAATGACAGAGTTGGAAGGGACCTCGGAGGTCATCTAGCCCAACCCCCTGCTCAGGCAGGAGACCCTGACAGAATCACAGAGTTGGAAGGGTCCTCGGACGTCATCTAGCCCAACCCCTTGCTTGAATACCCTTACAGATTTATGGAATGACAGAGTTGGAAGGAGGGGAGGAGAGGAGAGGAAGGGAGGGAGGAAGGAAGGAAGCAAAGAGAAAGGAGGAAGGAGGGAGAGAGAGAGGGAGAGAGGAAGGAAGGAAAGGAAAGAAAGAGAAAGGAGGAAGGAGGGGGGGAGAGAGAGAGAGAGAGAGAGGAAGGAAGGAAGGAAGGAAGGAAGGAGTGGAGGAGGGAGGGCAGGAGGAAGGAACGAGGAAAAGCAGAAATAAAGGAGGAAGGAAGGAAGGAAGGAAGGAAGGAAGGAAGGAAGGAAGGGAAGGGAAGGGAAGGGAAGGGAAGGGAAGGGAAGGAAGAGGCTCCACCTCTTCCCCAAAGCCTCCAAAGGCAGGCCAAGGAGAGAAGCAACCTGGAATGAAGGAGAAACTTCCTAACAGTGGGGAAGATTAACCAGTGGAACAGCTGGCCACCAGAAATCGTGGGTGCTCCATCACTGGAGGTTTTGGAAAAGAGACTGGACAGCCTGCTTGTCTGAAATGGTACAGGGTCTCCTGCTTGAGGGTCTCCTGGTCAGGAGAAAGAGACAAAAGGAAGAAAGGAAGGAGAGAGAGAGAGAGAGAGAGACCGGAAAGAAGGAAGGAACGAGGAAAAGAAGAAAGAAAGGAGGAGGGAAGGAGGGAGACAGGAAGGAAGGAGGGAGGGAGGGAGGAAAGAAGGAAAGAAATAAAAAGGAAGGAAGGAGAGGGAGAGAGGAAGGAAGGGAGGGAGGGAGGGAGGAAAGAAGGAACGGAGGGAGGGAGGGAAAAAGGGAGGGAGGAAGGGAGGAACGAAAGAAAGAGGAAGGAAGGAGGGAGAGAGAGAGAGAGAGAGAGAGACCGGAAAGAAGGAAGAAATGAGGAAAAGAAAGGAGGGAAGGAGGGAGACAGGAAGGAAGGAAGGGGGGAGGGAGGGAGGGAGGGAGGGAGGAAAGAAGGAGGGAAGAAGGAGGGAGAGAGAGAGAGAGAGACCGGAAAGAAGGAAGGAACGAGGAAAAGAAGAAAGAAGGAGGGAAGGAGGGAGACAGGAAGGAAGGGAGGGAGGGAGGTAGGGAGGGAGGAAAGAAGGAAGGAAGGAGGGAGGGAGGGAGGAGAAGGGAGAAAGGAAGGAATGAAAGAAAGAAAAAGAGGAAAAAAGGAGAGAGGGAGAGAGGAAGGAAGGAACGAGGAAAAGAAGAAAGAAAGGAGGAGGGAAGGAAGGAGACAGGAAGGAAGGGGGAGGGAGGGAGGGAGGGAGGAGGAAGGGAGAAAGGAAGGAAAGAAGGAAAGAAAGAAAAAGGAGGGAAGGAGATAGGGAGAAAGAGGGAGAGAGGAAGGAAGAAACAAGGAAAAGAAGAAAGAAAGGAGGCGGGAAGGAGAGGGAGGGAGAAAGGGAGGGAGGGAGGGAGGGAGGGAGGGAGGGAGGGAGGGAGGGAAGGGAAGAAGCGCCCAAAGGCCGGACAAGAAGCCACGGATGGAAACCCATCAAGGAGAGAAGCAACCTGGAACTAAGGAGACCCTTTTTAACAGTGGTGACAATAAACCGGCGGAACTGCTTGCCACTAGAACTTGCACGTGGCCCAACACTGGGGACAGCCACCGGTCTGAAATGGCATGGGGTCTCCCGCTTGAGCCGGGGGCTGGACTAGAAGACCTCCAAGGTCCCTTCCAGCTCTATTCGGACTGATTGACAGTTCGTTACGACAGGTGGGTTAGCGACCGTTTCCAGGTTCCCACGCCGCTGGGAAAAAAGCGACTCACAACCTGTTTTTCGCCCTCCCGTCCCTTGCAGCCTCCCCAGGGTCGCCTGTGATTTGAGCTTGATTGCTGACTCACAACTGTGACGGTCACATCGCCCCCCCCTTTGGCGACCTTCTGCGAAGCCGAGCCCGATTCCCTTCACCTCCGTGGGACCGGCACTCCGGAGGGGATTCACTTAACAACTGGGGGGGGGGCAGGAAGGTCATTAAAGAGGGGGCAAAACCCCCTCTACCCTTGCTCAACAAGAGCCATTTGGGGCGCCTCGGTGGTCGCCAAACAGAGCACACACATACACGTACCCCGAAACGAATGGGTCGATCGAAAGAAGCAACGCCGTCTCGTTTGGACGACGAGGGCCCCCCCCCCCGCCTCCGAGTCGCCACCAGCCGTCCTCGAAAGGGGGTTGAGTTGGAAGGAGAAGTGAGAGAAACTGGCGAGGGCAGGGACACTGGCCCGTCTCGCGCAGGCGGTTTCCAAGGGGCAACGTTTCGAAACCCGAACTCGAAGCCGGGCGAGGAGACCTCCCGCACACCCAAGGCTCCCTCCCTCCCCCCCTGCTTCCTCTTCCTACCTGTGGGCAACCAGGCGGCCGGAGAGACCCAGTGGTTGGTGTTCTTGGCGGCGCCGGTCAGCCGGGCCCGATCCACCACCACCTCGAAGTTGAGGATGAACATGATGACGGCACCGCTCTCGTTCTTCACCGGCACCACGTCCACCAGGCAGAGGAAGCAGCTGCCTGCAAAGGGGGAGGGGAGAAGGGGGAGGGAGAGGGTCAGAAGAGAGAAAAAAAGAGGGGGGCTCCCTTTCGCTCCCCACTCCTCAGGACAGGAGACGGGGCGAGGGGTAGGGGGGGGGAAGACAACTCCGAGGAGAGGTCCGGCCCGTGCCTGCCTCCAGCCAACCTGTGGTCATTCGGGGGGGGGGGCTTGCATTGGAGGTGCCATCTTGGGCCAACTTAAACACACACACCCCGGGCAAGACTGTGTTGCTTTTGGGCAGTTCCGGCCAGGTGCACAATTCCTCGCCCTTCAGGCCAGGCAGGATAGAATATAGGATATAGGATAGACTATAGAATATAGAACAGAATAGAATATAGAGAATATAGAGAACAGAACGGAACGGAACCAAATGGGAATGGAATAGAATAGAATAGAATAGAATATGGAATGGAATAGAAGAGGATAATTAAAATAGAAATAGAATAAAATAAATAGTATAAACTATAGAATATAGAACATAGAATATAGAGAACAGAACAGAACAGAACGGAATGGAATGGAAGAATAGAATAGAATAGAATAGAATAGAATAGAATAGAATAGAATATGGAATGGAATGGAATAGAATAGAATAGAATATGGAATAGAAGAGACGAGAATAATTAAAATAGAAATAGAATAAAATAAATAGTATAAACTATAGAATATAGAACATAGAATATAGAGAACAGAATAGAATGGAAGAATAGAATAGAATAGAATAGAATAGAATAGAATAGAATAGAATAGAATAGAATATGGAATAGAATAGAATAGAATAGAATAGAATAGAATATGGAATGGAATGGAATAGAAGAGAATAATTAAAATAGAAATAGAATAAAATAAATAGTATAAACTATAGAATATAGAACATAGAATATAGAGAACAGAATAGAATGGAATAATAGAATAGAATAGAATAGAAATAAGAATAAGAAAAAGAGAGAGAAAGAGAAGATAGAAAGATAAAGAGGGAGAGAAAGACAGAGAGAATGAGACAGGAAGAGAGAAAGTGAGAGAGAAAAAGAAAGAGAATGGGAGAGAGAGAAGGAGGGAGAGAGAGAGACAGACAGAATGAGAGAGAGAAAGAAAAAAACAGAGAAAGAAAGAATGGGAGAAAGAAAGAGGGAGGGAGGAAGAGAGGGAGAGGGAGAAAGAGAGAAAGAAAGGGTGGGAGAGAAAGACAGAGAGAGAGAAAAAAGGGAGAAAGAAAGGGGGAGAGAAAGGGAGGGAGGGAGAGAGAGAGAAAAAAAGAGGGGGGGAAGAGAGAGAGAGACGGCCTGGAAACTTGGCACAGGAGCCAAAGTGACTGGGGATTTTATGCCCAAATAAGGCTGTGGGCAGTTGCTGACACCACAGCTGGCCACACCATGTCAACTGGCAAAAGCAGAAGGGGAGGCAGCCACACACACACAAACACCCCCCCCCCAGATGTCAGACTAGGGAGGGAGGGGGAACACGAGAGCAGCCTTCCAGTATTTAGGGGGCTGCCTCCCCAAAAAGGGGGGGTCCATCTCTTCTCCAAAGCGCCTGAAGGCAGGAGAAGAACAACAGATGGAAACTGAACACGGAGAGAAGCAACCTGGAACAAAGGGGGAACTTCCTGACAGTGAGGACAATTCACCAGTGGAACTCCTGGCCTCCAGAACTTATGGGCGCTCCCTCACTGGAGGTTTTATAAGAAGAGACTGGACAGCCATTGCTCTGACACGGTGCAAAGTCTCCTGCTTGAGCAAGGGCTGGACTAGATGACCTCCAAAATCCCTTCCAAACTCGGTCCTTCTATGATTCTGTAAGCATCTCCTGCTTGAGCAGCGGGTTGGACTAGATGACCTCGGAGGTCCCTCCCAACATTCTATCATTCTGTAAAGGTCTGCTGCTCAAGCAGGGGGTTGGACTAGATGACCTCCGGGCTCCCTTTCAACTCTGTCATTCTAGGATTCGCTAAGGGTCTCCTGCTTAAGCAGGGGGTTGGGCTAGATGACCTCTGAGGTCCCTTTCAGCTCTATCATTCTATGATTCTGTAAGGGTCTCCTGCTTGAGCAAGGGGCTGGACTAGATGACTTCCGGGGTCCCTTCTGACTCTGTGATCCTGTAAATCTGTCAGCGTCTCCTGCTCGAGCAGGGGGTTGGACTAGATGACCTCGGAGGTCCCTCCCAACATTCTATCATTCTGTAAAGGTCTCCTGCTCAAGCAGGGGGTTGGGCTAGATGACCTCCAGGGTCCCTTCCAACTGGCATGCTGTGATTCTCCAAGGGTCTCCTGCTCGAGCAGGGGGTTGGACTAGATGACCTCCAGGCCCCTTTTCAACTCTGTCACTCTAGGATTCGCTAAGGGTCTCCTGCTTAAGCAGGGGGTTGGGCTAGATGACCTCTGAGGTCCCTTTCAGCTCTATCATTGTATGATTCTGTAAGGGTCTCCTGCTTGGGAAGGGTTTGGACTAGATGACCTCCGAGGTCCCTTCCAACTCTGTCATTCTATGATTCTCTGTCTCCTGCTGGGGCAGGGGGTTGGACTAGATGACCTCCGAGGTCCCTTCCAATTGTGTAATTCTATAAGAGTCTCCTGCTCGAGCAGGGGGTTGGCCTAGATGACCTGCGAGGTCCCAGTTGTTAAGTTAGTCACACCGTCATTAAGCGAACCCAGCTTCCCCATTGACTCTGCTCATCCGAAGGTCACTAAAGGGGATCACGTCACCCCCCCCGGGACGCTGCGACCGTCATAAAGAGGAACTCCTGTTTGCCTTCCATCTTGTGCTCTAACCACTGGGCAGCACAGTCCCTGCCCAACAGCCATGGCTATCGTGGTTTCCTACAAGCCTTCATGGCTTTCGAAGAGAAGCGCCCGCTGGCCAGCATGACTTCTCTGCCCATCCCAGGGTAGGATAGTTAGTAAGCACTCTGCACATGCTCAGAGACCCCCTTCCCGATTCCCCCCCCCCCAAGCAAGCAAAAGAGAGAGCTGCGTGCTTGGCCTCCCACTCTCTAGTGACCAATGGAAACCCCGGGACTACAACGCCCATCATCCCTCCCACAGACGGGGAGGGGGAAAGTCACAATTCTTCTCCTGGCGCAATGCGACCTCTGGCCAGCAGAGGGAGCACTTGTCTCGTAGTTCTCGCGGCTGAGAAGGGAGGGGGAGAACTGGGCCAGCCGACACTAAGGCAGGCGTCTGTCAGTTTGGCCCCGTTTGATGACCTTCCGTGCCCTCGTTGTTAAGTGAATCACTGCCGGGTCATAACTTTGTAACCCGGTCGTTAAGTGAACCTGGCTTCCCCCATTGTCTGTCAGATGGTCACGCAACAGGGGATTGCGTGAATCCCCCCCCGCCCGGACACCGTGACCGTCATAAATACGAGCGTCCGAATGTTGATCGCGGGAATCCTGCGACAGTCGTAACTCTGAAATGCGGCCCTCAACCCCCTTGTGCGTGACTTTGAACGGTTCACCAAACGAAACAAAGACAGCCTAACGGACAAATCCCTTTCTTCCCTTGGGACTTTCCGCTCTCTCCAGTCTCAAACTCCTCCTGGGAAGGGGCGCCTTTGAGGTCATCCATCCCACCCCACTTCGGGGCCAGAGTCCCTCCGAGTCTGGCGGAGGAGAAACTGGGCGGACCGAATGCCGGTTTTCTTCCCAGGAGGGAAAAGGGGGACCAGGGTTTTCAACCTGCCAGGGTGCGCCCCGCCGCCAGCGGGCACAACCTCGCATTCGTGTCCAGAGAAGGCGATGGGGACCCCCCATCTCTGCACCCCCAGCCTTCCCCCCTCCCATTCCCAGCTCTTTTGAACTGCCCAGCTTCCCTGCGTGCCAGGGGAGGGAACTCTGTGCATGCTCAGAGCTGCCATCTTCACCGCCCTGCTTGGTACATCTCCCCCCCCCCAAAGTCTCCCCCCCTTCCAGGCTTGGTATGTTCCCCCAAAGCCTCCCCCCTTCTAGGCTTGGTACGTTGCCCCCAAAGTCTCCCCCCCCTTCTAGGCTTAGTACATCTCCCCCCTTCCAGGCTTGGTATATCTCCCTCCCCGAAAGTCTCCCCCCTTTCCAGGCTTGGTATATCTCCCCCCTCAAAGTCTCCCCCCCTTCCAGGCTTGGTACATTCCACCCCAAAGTCTCCCCCCCTTCCAGGCTTAGTACATCTCCCCCCTTCCAGGCTTGGTATATCTCCCCCCTCAAAGTCTCCCCCCTTCCAGGCTTGGTACATTCCACCCCAAAGTCTCCCCCATTTCCAGGCTTGGTACATCTCCCCCCTCAAAGTCTCCCCCCTTCCAGGCTTGGTACATTCCACCCAAAGTCTTCCCCCCTTCCAGGCTTGGTATATCTCCCTCCCTCAAAGTCTCCCAGGCTTGGTACATCCCCCCCAGTCTCCCCCCTTCCAGGCTTGGTACATCCCCCCCAAAGTCCCCCCCCTTCCAGGCTTGGTACATTCCCCTCCAAAAGTCTCCCCCCTTCCACACTTAGTACATCTCCCCCCCTTCCAGGCTTGGTACGTCTCCCCCCCAAAGTCTCCCCTTCCAGGCTTGGTACATCCCCCCCAAGTCTCCCCCCGTTCCAGGCTTGGTACATTCCCCCCCATTGCAAACCCTCCCACCAATTTTAACTGGGGCCTCTTTTTAAGGATGAGTTTTTTCCATGCCATCTCTTCCCTTGGGGGGGTCTCCCTGGCAATGGTGAAGGGGGGGGCTCTGATCCAGAAGCACCGCTCCCCCCTCCCTCCAGTCCCCTCCCAGGCATACAGCCCCCACTCTTTCCCTCCCCACGGGGGGGGGGCGGAGGAGCACCTATTAACAACTTAATGGGCCGTGCTTTCTCCCTTCTTCCCCCCCCCCGATCTGCCCAAGCTGGGGAGAGGGGGGGGCTTTCCCTTAAAGGAGGGGGGTCCCAGCTCAGCCCCCCCACTGCTCAGCACAGCCCCCTACAAGAAGACGGCGCTGGGGGGGCAGATGGAGGGGGCAGAAGATGGAAGAGGGCAGTGCCC